ACACACACACACACACACACACACACACAAGATAACTGAATAAAATATAGATTATGTAGAGATGGATAACGTTTCTTAAGTTCAGTGGTAAATGAATCCAATCCACATCTCGTCCAGATGAACTCACATGGCTCTACACAGTCACCTAGTGGTGGCTTCAGTGAAACTTTATGGTTCACATTAGTTGACATTACATGATGTTTCCCTCTGCTGGTTAGGGTTAGGAGAGTCTACACAGGAGTGTCAAACTCATTTTCACTGAGGGCCACATGGTGGCTCTCAAAGGGCCAGTTGTAATGAACTTTGATGTTTCATATTTAACTTTGACTGAACAGTGTTTTAAACACGTCCTCTTTTAAACACTGAAAAGAACTGTATGACTGACTAAATCTGAAATAAATAATACAGAAATATAATATAATATTATATGTTATCATACTATTATATATTATAATAACATATAATATTAAAAGTAAAACTAATAAAATTTTACTCACTGGTGAGTTTCTAGTTAGTAGCTGTCATCTTGAAATCTTAATTCTCCCACTTTCTGACAGGGAATTCCCATGGATGATGGAAATGCATTATTGGAGATGTAGTTTATGGTCAATGCTGACTTTAAAACAGCTTAATTTGTGCTATGCAACTAAATCGCTCAGTTACTTAAAGCCAACAGCTTATATTTCACATTTTAAATTAATTTATTTTGTTGCATTTAATCATAAATTTACCTAAGTTTACCATCAATATAGAAAAAAAATCTGAATAAGTAAAAAAAAATTACTTGTTCTGCAATTTGATTAATTTATATTTTTGATTTATATTTTTGATTGATTTATATTGAAAAAAGTTATTGGGTGGGGGTACCCCCCCAGCAGGCCACCGAGGGTGACTCAGCCTTGAGTTTGACACATGTGGTCTACATTAAAAATGTCATGATAATTTGTCTTTTCTCAGCAGTGAGGAAGTTCAATAAGAAAATGTAATTAAGGAGCTGACTGGGACAGAATGGATCTGTTCTGTCTGTTTTCTTCTTGATTGAGAAGCAATGACTGATACATTCTGCTTGGGTCTGCAACCTGTGGCTCTGGGGCCACATGTAGCTCTTTGGTCCCTCTGCAGTGGCTCTTTAAGAATGTGACCAAACATAACAGAATATTTCTTTTGTTGTTTTTTATACTCACAACATAAATCAATTTGTATGTAAATATGTGATCAGTACGACTAATACAAAAAGTAAAACATGTTAGCTCATGTCCTGATGCATCTCTGTAATCCAGGTAGAAAAAAATCAAAAAGAAAAAATGATGTCTTCTGGATGAGTTCCTTTAGTGAAATGTTTCATCTCTCGTCTAAGAGACTTCATCAATCTGATGAGTTTCAGGTGAACTCAGCCTTAAAAGCACTGCCTCCACATGGTGGACAAAGAAACAGAGGTGGAGGCCTTCGTGTCCAGTTGTCCTCCTCCTACAACGCTGTTATTGCAAGTGTGACTCAGCCCCCTGTAAGCAAAAGGTATGAATCAGGGCCCCAATGATACCAACACAAAGAGGGAAAAAACAAAAACAAGGGGACTTTGAGCCCCGCCTGCATTCACTACATTCACATGACACAACACCACAACATCCAAACCAATAAGTCAGGTGATGGGGCACACCCTCTATGAACAATAGAGCTAATCAAGCCTATTGTTGAGCGATGGCCCTCTTCTGCATGTGACTGACCTCTTTGTCCACCATGTGGAGGCAGTGCTTCTAAGGCTGAGTTCACCTGAAACTCTTCAGACTGAGGAAGTCTCTTGGAGGAGAGACAAAACGTTTCACTAAAGAAGAACCCATCCAGAGGACCTACTTATTTTTTCTTTTTGATGTTAGCTCATGCTAACCTGTTGTTGTAGCCTGTACTTAAATAATCCAACTCCTTTCTATGATCTCTCTCTCAAATCCATCAGAATTAGCTCTAAATAATTTTAAGACTTTATAATAATAAGAATTTGAAAAAACATATGCCTGAATAGTTCATTTGTGCTAGTTTTTATAAAATTCTGTATAAACTATATACAGTATTTTTCTTGTTTACATGAATATGGTCTTTTCATTTGTGCTGATGTGTAAAAATAATAATAAATAATAAAATTCATAATACATTTTTTTGTTTTATAATGTCACCTCCACTGGCTGTAAAGGTTCCCAAAAAGGCCTCAAAAAGGCCCACGGACCACCAGTAGCTTGCTTTGTGGCTCTGGACACATTTTATTAGTAAGATAAGTAGCATAAATGGCTCTTTTGATTGTAAAGGTTGCAGACCCCTGGGTTAGGGGTTAGGGCTAACCCCTGGGTTAGGGGTTAGGGCTAACCCTACTTCCAACTATGAGTGCATCACTCTCATTCGATTTGAACCATCCTTACAGGTGGAAGTTGACTTTGTTTTCGTTTCTGAAGCTTGCTGGCCTAACAGTGGGTTGTTTTTTCGACATCAAAAATGAGGAACAAGAGCAATTTGAGAAATACCAAAAGCAGAAAGAGGAACTTAGATAGATTGCAGAAAGTTGATGCCTCAGTGGTACCAATAGGCATCAGAGCACTTGGGGACCCAAGGTGGCTGAGTGGTCAGAGGATTCATTTCYCTAATGTGAGAGWTGGCGGTTCAATTCTACCCTTTCCTGGGAAGGACACTGAACACCCACTGCCTCTGATGTGTGTCCTATCAGTGAATGAATGTGATTTAAAGCACAGATTAGTCTCTATAGGAYGATTTACATGGGTAAATGAGAGCACAGATTGCAGTGTGAAGGACTTTGAGTATCCTGGTTGGATAGAACAGCGGTATATAAGTAAAGTCAATTTACCATTTATCCTAAAACGCAGAGAGTAGCTACWGAAAATAAGAGGAACAACATCAGAGGCCTCAGTATATTTGAAAGCAGTCATGTAAACATATGATGCAAAGATGACTGACATGTCGTAAAGACATAACTGGGCTTATGAGGCTGAAACCAACACAGGTTGTAATGAATTACGCTCATGCTCTGCTTTTGTCCAAGCCATGTCATATTTTTCTACCATCAGTCAATTAACCTGCTCATTGTTTCGCCCCTACCGTCACAGAACTCCTCATCAGTCTCATGTTATACACCTGTTCCCCTCAGTATTTAAGCTCTCCCTCACCACTGCTCCAGCGCCAGATTTATGAACAGTTTTACCTGGTAGCTATCCAGCATTCTCCATGTCTTGTTCTGCCTACCTCGTCACAACCTTGTTTCTGCTCTCTGGTTCCACGTCTCCTGCCTTGCCCCTGAACGTTACTGTCACGGACTCTGATCACCTGGTTTTGACCCCCGCTCTCGACTCTGGATCTCTGCCACCCGCCTCACTCCCTATCGGACCTGTTCAGCCATCTGATCCCCTGACTTCGACCTCTGCCTGTGTACCCCGACCACGAGTTAATCTGCTCCCCTTAACCTGGTTCTGAACTCTGATCCTATGTGCATGACCCCAGCCTGCCTCACTGAAAACCCTCAAGCCCACAGTACGCCGAAGTCCGAGGCCCGGAAGTGTCAAGTACTGATTCCGACATAGACTCTCAAAGTCTTTTAAGAGTTCTGTTCAAACCTCACAGACTCTAAGGAGGTTAGTGACTTTATATTTTTCAAGATCTGTTCCCCTGCATCAACTGGTCACCAACCTGATCATCTCTTGTGTAGATCTCCAGATCCCAGTGACGTGCTGCTCCTGGTCCAGCTGCTCATATTTAAATAAAATCCTTAAATCTTCCTTGGTGTCCGGCGTATCAGTGAAACTCTCAAACCCAGTCATTGCACAGGTCTTCAGAACAATGGAAAGATATTTATTTACAAATTTGTAATCARTTGTGAAGCCAGTGGTATTGAGCTCAGATTATCTACAGAGAAGGAGATATTTTACTTTTGGGCTGGGAATTGTTTTGTACTTGAAGTGATCAGCTACAACTTGTCTGACCTTTTTGAAAGGAGAGGCCTGTGGATCCAGAACCCTTTAAGAGAGTTTAGTGGTCTTGATAGAGAGTGGGCAGGTAGGCAGGCAATGGTGTCTCTTGTGCATGGTGTGTGTTCTACTTTTTATCTGAGCTTCTCTGTGTTTTCCTGCCGCCTTCAGCATTCTATTGTCAGCCTCTGCTCCTCAGCTTCAGCCCGTCCACTCGCATCTGTTCCCAGTTGACATGTGGCCCAGGTGTCTCCTCTCATCTGCTCCCGTCTATAAACACCCGCAGTTTTTCCACTTTGCATTAATTTTGGCATTGTTTACCCCCACATCATGCTTCTCTCCTCTGTGTTTCATTTTTTCAAGGGTTGAACTTTTGTCATCCTTGGAAATGAGGAAGGGTCTACAAAAAATACAAGGGTTGACCTTGGAATCAAGTAAAATAAATCTGCAGAGAGATAACAATATGGTAAATAGTAGGGATGTAAATCACCTGCTTTACCACAATATAATACATTGATTTGTTCATCATGATACAAAGTCTGTCATGATACAACTTCAATTCTTTTCACATGTCTGCAGTTAATATGATGCAATATCATACAMCAGGGCTGTTCATCTAAATTACTCCTGGGGCCACAGTTACTGCAGGTCAACAGCTCAGGGGCTGGACATCCAGCATTTAAAGCCATCCTGTAATTAAACCAAATATTACAAGATCTGTTACCTTTGAAATAGTTTATTTTGCTGCATTTAATCATTAATACAACAGAGAAACCTATAAAAGTAGTGATAATTAAACAATACCAAAAACAAAAAGAACACATTGTGCCTCATATTTAACACACATATTATTTTGACATCTCTGACTTGCCAAAATTTTAAACCAATTTTATTTTCACTTTCATCATTTTATCTTCAACTGCTTGTAATTTTAACTGTCTTGATTGTGTATAGAGATGGTTTTTACCAGCTTCTAGCCGAGATTCTGATTTTTCTGTAGACACCAAACATGTCAATGTCGAACTAAAAGAACTTATAGTAATTAAAGTAAAATCCGGAGGTTTGGGCTTAAGAGATGAATTGGTGGGCTGAACTGTGGTCACTCGCAGGCCAGATGTGGGCCGCGGGCCGCCACTTGAATAGCCCTGTTATACACCCATCTAAGACAATCTCTGTTGGGCATCATGTCATTTGGCTTATCCATCCACATCGGGCACATGATGACTATATGGATCAATGTTTTTGTTTTGCCTTGATATAAGTCATATAATGGACATATTGATGTGTATTGGTGTATTGTTGCACCCATAGTAAATAATAGATGTTTCAACCAGTCTTTTTTTTCTTTTTTTATGTTTCAACCAGTCTTAAATAACAGAGAAATGACAATGATTAAAGACGGGTAAAGCCAAGGGTCGGGGCAAGGAGGAGAGAGCAGCCAGTTCGACAACAAGCTAAGGCCTTTTCTTTTGCCATAGTGTTATGTCTTAAAACATYACTATGTGATGCAAAACAGATAAGAGGATGAACCCAAAGTGTTCCTCATTTTGCTTAGAATTTTACCGCCTGCGTGTACATCTTGATAGTACACTTCCTTTTTTGGGCTTCATAAGCTGTCTTGGCAACATGTGGTTGAAACATGTCTTGTCTTTGCCATTCACTGTTGTCTGCAGATTCTCTTTCATTGAATGTGTGCTTAACAGAGCAAAGACCGGTTCATTCATGTATAGTTTATTTTTTAAACCTACCTACCTACTCTCTAACAACTGGTCTCAAGGATAAACGAAACTTGTAGCGTCATTTCCTTCCTTTCACATACTAAAATTTTGTTACCACACCTTTTGTGGTTCCTGTCAGTGTTTGKTACGAGCTGACAGTCTGAGGCAGATTCACTGCAGACTATCCAGATTTGTTTGAGTAGGATTATTTCAAAAATTGACACAAATGAGTATGAAGCAATTTATTGTTTTTGTGATGTTAACTGGAGGAGCTTATGGTAAGATCATCAGCATTTCACACACACACACACACGCACACACACACACACAAAGCAAATTAAAGGTGTTGTAGTGTGACTGAATGGAGTCATTTTATTTTCATGTCATTTAAATGCAGGAGTATTTCAAGTTCCTGACACTGAATGTGATGCCACCCAGACCACATCCCTGTGTTCCCCTGCTCTTGGAGGATCCGTGAACATCAAACTGATGAACAATGCAACTGGCTACAAGCTGAAGTGTTACAAGAATGTCACCAGTGACCTTGAAATTGTGTTTAATTTAAAGAAAAGTTCAGTGACAATAGAAAGACCGTATCAGAACAGAACAGAATTTTTCATAAACAACGGGACACTCAAAATCACCAACGTGAAAAAGAGTGACACGGGTCAATACACTGTGACGGTTCACAACGCTGATGGAAAACATGAAAAAGACATCAGTTTTATCCTCAAAGTTAAAGGCAAGTGTCGACGTGTCTATTATTTCTCATTTTACACATACTTGCACATTTTCAAAGGCAATGGCTTTTAAATATAAAATACGATTGTTGTAGTTCATTATTTTGTAGATTTTTTCAAGAAGATAAAGCACAAGTTGTGCAGATATTTTAATGACTGCATGGATTTTTTCAAGCTGAGTGTGTAGGATTATTTGCTTTTGCTAAAGTCTGGGGGAACATATTCAACCTAAATCAAAGCTGTGAATAAGTTTTAGGTGTGGTGCAGTTAAAGGAACAGGCTGTGGTTTAACGGACACATTTAGTAAATGTTATAGTATCAGTTTTTTTTTTCATTTTATTTGTTTCCATGCCGTCTTACAGCTCATCTCTGTTGTCTTTATGCCATGATCAGAGTGTTTCATTGTTCATTTTTTTAGGTTTGGGGCTTATTTTTTATATTTCTCTCTTGCGTTTGGTGTGTTTTCTTTGTGTTCAGCTTCTTACCTGAGATTGCCTGTGGTTTTTTTTTAAATTTCTGCCACACTCAGAACTTTTCTATTGTCAGCCTCTGCTCCTCAGCTTAGGCCCTACCCACTCTCACCTGTTCCCAGTAGACATTTTGCCCAGGTGTCTCCATTCCTCTCACCTGCTCCTGTCACTAAACTCCCTCAACTTCTCATTTTACATTCAGTCTGGCACTGTGTTTGCTCCACACCATGATTCGTCTTCTCTGTGTTTCATTTCCTTTTTTGTTTTGTGTTCTTGTTACCACCTTGCCAGCCTTTTGTATCGTTTATTAATTTAAAAAAATGTAGCCCATATATTTGTTTGATTAGACTCTCACACTAAACAAGCATAATATTTTATCAAACAAACCAATCCAGCAAATTGTGAAAACAGAAACAGGAATTTGGCAGAAGACTATTATCTGTGTTTGAGTGTTTGAAATCGTGAATTCAAAATTTGTACAAATTTATACAACTGCAAAATACTAATAATAATGTTTGTTTCTTCAGATAACAGTATTTTTGTCTGGATCCTGGTTGGTGCTGTTCTTGGTGCTGTCCTGATTATAGCTGTGTGTTTCTTTGTGTGTTGGAAGCGGAGGTGCTTTAGGAAATCAGGAGAAAGTCAGGTAATACATCACACATCGGTTTGATTCAAAATAATTAGAGAGCAATGACTTTGCTTCCTTTGCACCATTAAATTAATGTCAAAGTCTTTGTTTTGGTGTAATTGTGACTGGTTTGTGTGCAGACTAAGGTGCTGAATGCAGAGCTACAACCTTCAGCGGATTTAACCTTGGAGACGTTGATCAGCAGCAAACCGTACTGAACAAAGACCTCCAGAAGTTCTTAAAAACACTTGATTCTGACAGTTTTATGGTGGTGAGAACAAGTGTTGGTTTGGTAATCATGTTTTTTACTTGGTCAATTATCTGAAAAAATATGGCATAAACCACTGCATACACTGTGCACTAAAAAATGGTCCTCTAAACTTCATGCCCCGGAAATGCCTTGAAGCCTTGTGGTCTGAGGTAAAGAGTTAGAAAAAAAGAAAACAAAGTACTCAACAGAGCAACAAAAACAAACAAATACTATATTATGTGACTCCTAATCAGCACTGCAGTGCTCTATTGATTAAGCTGTATGCTGATTAGTATAAAATCAATAAAACCAGGAAGTAAGTAAGTAAGTAAGTAAGTAAGTAAGTAAGTAAGTAAGTAAGTAAGTAAGTAAGTAAGTAAGTAAGTAAGTAAGTAAGTAAGTAAGNTAAGTAAGTAAGTAAGTAAGTAAGTAAGTAAGTAAGTAAGTAAGTAAGTAAGTAAGTAAGTAAGTAAGTAAGTAAGTAAGTAAGTAAGTAAAATTTTATTTATATAGCGCCTTTCACTGAAATAATTTCATATGGTGCTGTACAAACAGTTAAGAAAACCCATTCAAGAAGACATACATGACAAACATGGGGGAACAGGTGTACAGGTCATGCAGAAACAGAGACAGTTGTGCTACCTTTAACAAAGAAAAAAACAATGGCAGGAAGTGCAATTAGTATAATACTGAATGATTACTATTTTGCTTTACCTGTTTGAAACAAGTCTGATAAATACTGCCAAACTGGTGATGTGACCTCTTTTATCTTTTATTGGGCGACTGCGGTGGTGTGGTAGAGCAGTCAGCTTGGGACCAGAAAGTCACATGTTTGACTCCCCACCATGCCCACATGACGTAGTGTCCTTGAGCAAGTCATCCAACCTCCAACTCCTCCCAGGACATTTAAATAGCTGCCCGCTTCTCCACTTGGGTGTCTCTCACGTGTGATGGGTCAAACGCAGAGCACAAATTTCATTATTGCATGGGAACATAAAGTACCTTTACCTTTTTTATCCAAAATTTCCTCTCGGCATTCATTTACACCTTTCACTTCATGCTGTTCTTTTCATTTTGAAGCAGCTGAGAGTCATGGCAGTGAAACATGAAAGCGTTGCTGCACATGTTGCTCATGAGGTTGCTGCTTGCTTACCAAAGAGTAAGCCTACATCCCCCAGAATGCAGTGTGGTTCAGGAGAAGAGTTCAGTGAAATTACCATTCTATTCTACACATTCTCACTCCCAAGTCGTCACATATTGACGCTTTTCCAAACGTTCCCTCTGCGTCTTATTTTGACGCGCAGGGTACCCCCCTCGTGTCAGTCCTTGACGCCCGCGGATTTTCCGGGTTKCGCCACCAGGGGTCTTTGGGTCGGGGGTCTGAGGTTAACATGAGGGATCAGGATTAATGGTTAAGTTTAGGTACTGGGATCAGGGGTAGGATGTCCATGGTGATTATTTGCTCATTTTACGCTTTAGAACATGTTGACGTGAATTTCGTACATTTTCTAAAAATGGTTAATTTTAGGTACTACGGTCAGGGACAGGATGTCTAAAGTGAACAAAGCCAATTTCAGGCTTTGGAACGGTCGTTTTCGCGCATTTTATACACTTTCTGAAAATATGACAACAGACTTCGCCCCATCTCGTCAGTAACTGACGTGACGGGGGTACCCTGCGCGTCAAAATCGGACGTAGAGGGAACCTTGCCAACGCGTCAATATGTGACGACTTGGGAGTGAGAATGGGTTGTTCTATTGGACATATTTTATATTGATAGTGATCATGTATATTGTGATATATATTGGTATTGTTTTATTACCTAGCCCTGAGTCTTCACTATTTCTTTGTCTAACCTGTCCGGTGTCCTTTTTTTTAAAAAACTTCCCTTTAAGGTCACACCAAGGTATCAGTTTCTTCTCTAACAAGACTGAATTAAAAACAAGGGATAAAGCAGCGAATGTCAAAAGAAAAATAAAGTCATATATATGTGTTTTTCTGTAAAATATTTAGTTTTTTATTTTATCTTTTAGTTTTATTCCTTCATAGTTTATGCTTTTATTCTAGGATATTTGTGTTTGACTTCTGCTTCCTGTGTTTTCTACATGTCATCAGTTAACATTTTGTCAGCCCTGCCCACTCTAACCTGCTCCTCCTTACCTCTCCCTAGGTGTTTATCACTTCTCATTGCTTTGCTCGTTTATTTCATATTCTGATTATTGTGCTTTTTGCTCCTCAGCAATTCATGTTTTTTTTTCACCTTGAGTCTTTGTGATTTTTTTTCTTGTGAATATTTTTGCTGCCATGTCAGATTTTTGTTACTGTAAATAAATTAATTTCCTTGTTTTCAACTTCGAGTTTTTGAATTTTGTTCTGCATTTTGGGCTCACCAATCTCTATAAACATGATAAAAAACTATTAGAAACACAACTTACAAGGATTTAAACACCACTGGGGCCCCACAGACCCATTTGAACATCTCATAGATTCTGCAAGGGGTTTCAAATTTAAATATTGTGGTGTCAAAATGGCTCACCCTTTATGATTGACACTGCTTTAACCAATTGTTTTGCTCTGTGGTTTCGTTTTTGCCCTAAAAACAGTACTACTCATGGTTAAACTCATTTTGAGTGCTGAAGTTAAAAATACACGCCTCTACAGAGATACCAAACTTTCCACCAGGGCTTGTTCTCAGCATATATTGGGGCTGGGGGTGGGGGTGGGGGGCAGAACTGTGAAGGGGCATCATCTGCTCTAGCACTTTTTAAGTGTTCTTTTAATGGGATCGGGTCGTTACTGTTAGCTGTGTCCCACCTCCAAGAAATTAACCGTGCTTTGTCAGGCCTCCACCCTAAGACTTGTTGGGTGTCCCACCTAACTCTTGCTTGTCCATCTCTTAGGATCACTGAGACACACAGCCCCCCTAAACACAACAAGGAGGCCATTCCTCAGGAGGGAAAGAGAAAATAAATAGGTAAAAAAATAGTAAAAATTTAAATATTCTTTATCCAGCTTTTAACAACCAGTAACATATTTATCTTACTGGATGATCAGTAGGCGTCTCAAATAAATTTGAACCATAGAGTTATAGAAGACAATTAGTGGTGGGATGTAACAAAGTACAAGTACTTTGTTTGTGCATTTTTCATGTATTTGTACTTTCATGTATCTGTACTCACTTTATCTTTGAATTATGTTAAGATTAAATATAAAATAAGTTACCACAAGAGACATTTAGATTAGATTTAAGCCCATATGTAGATTTGTCACATATACTCAAATTTTAAATTATGAAAAGTCCGATGAGCCTTTGCTGCCCGAGCATACATTGAATTTTCTCCATGTCCATGAGCTAAAAAGACAAACAAACAAACAAACAAACAAACAAACAAACAAACAAACAAACAAACAAACAAACAAACAAACAAACAAACAAACAAACAAACAAACAAACAAAC